GGTTTAACACATGGGTCAAGTGTACCTCCTTGGCCTAGATCATGAAGCTACCTGGTGTTTGCAATTGTCGCGAAACAGCCCAAGAAAAATTAAACTGAACACACACTTGGATGGCCGGTTGATTACCACACGCTCGGAAGGGGGGGGGGGAGGGAATTTGACCACTGAGGTCCCAAAAACTAACAGGGCTAGGAGACCTCAAATTCACAGGACATGATGGCCTGTTTGTGAAATCACTTGTGTCCAAGGTTGAGGTTCCTAAATCTTGACCTTCGGGTCAAATAAGGTCAAACTCCAGATTGATGTCTGAAGTGCCGCAGACCTCTGATGCAACCGCCTAAGTCTAGATACCTGATATAAGCAAAATGTCACTGGTATTATTTTTAGGTATTGCTCTTGTTTCACCTCTAGAAGATCATGGAAACCAAAAAATCTACAAGATTATTTTGTTTTTTGAATTTCAATATGCGTGAAGCATTACGCTTGGCGGTATGTTCCTAAAAACAAAATGCTGATCTGGGTCCTTTCAGGTCAGTGAGCTCTCTGACCTTTCAAAAGGTTATGGAAGATTCTCTTGTGATCCGTGTGATCTAAAAAGTCGAAATAAGTATCAGCAACTATCTTACAAAGCAAGCTCCCCAGTAAAAAAGCAGACCGGCTTTGACTTTCGTCTGGCCATCATACCTGGCCCAAGGTGCATGAATTATATCGTAATCCTAGATCAAATTGACTGTTTTTTTTTAAAACTATTTTTCTAAGAAACCCTCTCAAACATGTGTGGCTTGTTGCACTAAAAGACCAGCTATTCAGACACCTTCAGGTGAGCAAAATTTGGTGCGGCTACGCCGCACCTTTCAGAGATCATTCTGGAAAAACCTTCGGTGTCGGCTCACGGTGGCCTCCGCTCCATCCGAGTGCGTGTTCAAACGAATCAACTACAATGATCGGAATTTCCGCTTGAGGCGGACATCAGCAAGACATCAGATCAGTAAGACAACTCGGGGCACGAGACAGGTGGAACACATGGCGGAGTGCAGAAGAGGAAGCTAGAACGCAGCATAACCAAATACTTTCTTCCACAGGCAGTAGATTTGTCTAAGTTTGAAAGAGAGCTTGTTCTACATTTAAGAACAGAATCGACATTCCGCGTGCCATGACGTGGAGCGGAAAGACCAGCAGCCGTCTGTGTCATGTGCCCACAATCAGGTACCGGTCTTGTCACTGGGACTGATGTCAGGTTGTGTTTTCAGCGAAGAGTTTGGGATAACGTGATCATTGCGTGTCATGTTGTCGAGCATTGGCGTAATAGATCATTAGTAACTTGAGGCACGCGTAACTACACGGAAGCAGTGGGCGTACATCATCAATTTGAAATGAGGCAACGTAATTGCTGTCACACCAGTTTCGAAAGAAACGCGTTTTTTGCCAAACAGCCTGCCTTCTATATCAACGGGATGCAAAGCTGGAGTCACCCATTCAAAGTGCAAGGTAATTTCCGAGAAAAAAAGTTCCTGGAGCACATCGCGACTCGCTCGGAAGCGATGGCACAGCTCATGGACGCGTTCGATTCATTCTCTCGTGCTTGGAAGCGATGACACAGCTCATGAACGTGTCCGATTCAGTCGCTCGTGCTCGGAAGCGATGACACAGCTCATGGACGCGTCCGATTCATTCCCTCGTGTGTGCTTTCCGCGCCGTTGTCACGCTAGTGTGAATACTCTCTCAGGTTTTCGCGCTGAATTCGCAACAAGCTGTTTTGAACTCCGTGGCCCACATAGTTTGGGCTAGACTGTGGCCAAGACTCTCACTTGTTGAGGACAAAATGATTCTTCCACGCCGTCTGCAGCGGTAAATGCAGCGGACAGAATTCGAAAGATCCCAGTAAATGCAGCGGACAGAATTCGAACGAACCAGGCCAATTTGGCTTTCTCATTAGGTCAGGATAAAGTCACGAAATACAACTCTGTCTCACGTCTTAAGGTTCTGGTTTGTAATGGACAACTGACTGCAGATTCGGTCCCAGAAAATGAAGTCACGCGCAGCAGACTAACAGACCTTACATCTCGGTGTTATTAATTCGTGTATTCATATTTCCATTGTACAACACGGTTGATTTTTTGTGGTGCTTAGCTATAAATAATCTTGATTTATCGGCTCACACGATTATCAGTTACCGAGACCAGCATTTCGACTGTCCAGACTGTGGACAGTGCCATTCTGCAGGCGCATGGAGATATGTTAAGTGGTTAAATGGCCACAGCTCAATTTGTGACACAAATTCTCAAATCGCTAAAAGAACGAAAAATGAGAAATTCAGGTTTTACTGCGGCGGTGGCGTTCCGAAGCAACATAATGTGGGCGACAGCGATGAACATGAGCCAGCGTATATGATTTGGAACACCGTCCAACCGCAGAAGTGTGGAACCATGCTACATGCAACTAAACAGCATTTATAAACAAAACACGCAATCAAAAGAAATTGAGCACAGCTCACAGCATCAGTGCCTCACATAAGCTTTCAATTCCGGACAAAAATAGCACACAAAATCAAAATGTCCGAGGGCTCCATCTTACCTACGCAATCACGCCAGAAAAACACACGGTGGACTGCAAACCTTTGCCATCTTCCCGCAGACAGCCCGCAGCAGCCGCAATGACGGGTAAGAACGCATGCGCAGTCAAGGCGGCGGCCACAATGGCAGGTTAAGGGCGCATGCGCAGTCATGGCGGCGGCCACAATGGCAGGGTAAGGGCGCATGCGCAGTCATGGCGGCGGCCTGCAGCCGTCTCAAACCACCAATGGTGCGGCAGCTCCCAGGAGTCGGACGGCTCCCAGGTGTCCAAACCACTATCTGGACCCGTTCCCATCGCGGCACGCTATGGGCTGGTGCTGAACTGGAGTTGGAGGGGCCAATCCAACACTTTTACGGTGGAGGAAAAGGTAGGCACAATCACCGGTGTTGGCGCACTTTCAAGCTTTTTCCGCTGCTTTCATGGTTCCGCGTGAGCACCAAAAACAAAAAATGGCTGCTCATGGGTCCGTTAGGCCCCATGCGTTTAAAACCGGGCGTTCTAAGCCACGAAAGACGCACAAGGTTCGCGGTTACACGGCCAACTAAAGCACCCACAACACCAGCAGAACACTACATGCGAGAAACTCACTCATGCACTACCGTTCATGTCTTCGTTTGTGTGACGGTGGGCCATTTGTTGGGATGTGCGGAGTGTAAAAGCACCGATACATTCTCCCAGAGAAGGCATGTATAGTAGGCCAGATGCTGCCCTGTTTAAAAGCGTTAGAAGGTTGCACACGGTTTCTGCCTGATTAAGGCAGATTCAGCAATTCCAGAACACTGCTAGATTCTGAACATCGTATATTGATACTTCGCGGAGCATAAGTATCCATGACACAATCACCACGAAGCTCGAGACTTCGTCCGGCATCCGTCTCCCCTTCCGTCGACGACCTTTCGGCGCCTGACAGCACCTCCTTCACGATCCGTCGCCAGAACCAAACTCCGACCGCCTGTCGCCGCATCCACACCCAGGTGCGTCATTCTTGAGATGGCGCTGGTTAACTTTATCACTCCACTTCCGCGCTTCCCGAGATGTCACGGCGCCTACATATTTCGTTCACAAACTTCTGGAGCTGTCCACCCATCCGCTTACCCTATGCTCCACTTTGTTTTGAAGGAGCAGTAGGCTGTATCTCTTTACCCTTCCTGGTTTTCTGGGCGACACCGGCTGACGGTGTGATCTCTATATTACTTAAGACGACGCGCCCGGCACAGGAGCGGCACAGGCTCAGTGGGGAGGCTGCCATCCCCCGCCCCCTTCCGTGAACTTGGACTCTGGCCTTCCCACTTTGAGACAGAAGTGGGCCAAATGCGGGATGAAGACCTTTTTGGGGGGGAGGGGTCAGGTCACGTCGTTTTTCACCGCCCCGACCCTCTCCAACTAAATTTGCGAAATTATGCCCCATGCCAGATAGACGTATTTTGCTTACTCCACGTTGAGGTTGACGGGGCTGGCCCCAACACGTCTTCCTCCTCGCGTACGCTTATTGACAATCAGCACCGCTCACTGACAATCAGTACCACTCAACACAATCAATACTGCTCGCTGACAATTAGCACCGCTCAGTACCGCTCACCGACAATCAGTGCCGCTCACTGACAATCAGCACCGCTCACTGACAATCAGCACCCCTCACCAACAATCAGTACCGCTCACTGACAATCAGCACCCCTCACTGACAATTAGTGCCGCTCAACGACAATTAGTGCCATTCACTTCCTACTGGTGGGCAACATTACAACACTACTTCCTGAGGAAAAACTGTCTCACCGCATCATCATTAGCCGTCTTCCTGATGGAATCAGGTGAGGGCATCCTTCAACCTCCACGTCAGCATCGGAATGAGCTGGCAGACCTTCCAGTTCCTGAAGAGGGCCAACTGTAGCGATCACGATGAGCACCTCTTCCTGGAGGACACCAGACTGTCAAATTCCTTCCTGGGATTTATGCAACCGCATCACTTCTTGGAGGACACCAGACTGTCAAATCCATTCCTGGGATTTATACAACCCCATCGCTTCCTGGAGGACATCGGATGACCAAATCCCCTCCTCAAATCCCACCACACAACCGCATCACCTCCTGGAGGACACCAGATAGCCATTTTCCTTCATCGAGCACCACACAACCGCATCACTTCCTGGAGGACGCCAGATGGTCAAATCCCTTCCTTGGGCACCACACAACCGCATCACTTCCTGGATGGCTACAGATAGCCATATTCCTTCCTCTGGCACCGCACAAGCGCATCACTTCCTGGAGGACACCAGATGGCCAAATTCCTTCCTTGGGCATCACACAACCGCATCACTTCCTGGATGGCTACAGATAGCCATATTCCTTCCTCTCGCACCACACAACCGCATCACTTCCTGGAGGACACCAGATGGCCAAATCCCTTCCTTGGGCACCACACAACCGCATCACTTCCTTGATGGCACCAGCCGCAGGATTTGGTCGGGGCTGAGCTGGTGCACGTTCCGCAGGTGCTTCCGCAACGAGGGCACGATGCTGACCACCTTGCCGCAGAGCGGGCAGGAGGTGAGGCCGCGGTGCTTGTCCTGGTGGTTTGACAGCGAGCCCGGCGTGCGGTACACCTGCCCGCACGTGGCGCAAGAGAACCCTGCCGGAGGAGGTGGCTGGGTAACCATAAGAACAGCAACGGTGTGAGGCAAAGAAGTAGTAGAAATCTAACTGGCACCAGTCCAGTTTCGTGTCAAACGCGTGATCGAAGTATGAGCTGTGACACATGGCACTGCAGCCGATGCGCTCGAGAACCTCGGTCATCGCTCAGGTGACCAATCATTGGCTGCATGGCACATCACGTTGTGTGCGAGTGGCCGTTCCTGTACTTGATGACCATGTGATTCTCCCTTGGTGCCGACGCAAATATGTTCAAAATGGGTTCACGTGACGCGACGCGACTGACGTGACGTGACTGACGTGACGTGACTGACGCGACGTGACCTTACGCACGTGGCGAGTTAGTACCGGTGGTGATACGAAGCGTATATGAAGTTTTCAAGGTAGTTTGTGTCCGGTGGTTAAGGGCAGACTGATCATTCTGGAAACTTTCGCAAAAACACACCGCACTGAATGCGGTGTGTGCGGGAAGTGCACCTCAGTTACCCAAATTACACAGTGTGCTGACGTCCCAGCCGCTGGAATGGCACTGGACTGGAGTTTTAAACTGCAATGCTACCATCGAAATGAGACATGATTAGATACCATGCAATGCATTGCACAATTTGTTCACAAATCTCACAAAAAATCCCGTTGCAGATGGCTATAACCGATATGGATGCTGCAAAAAACACCCAGTTACTTCCGGCGAAAGCATCCGCACAAATATACATTTCAAACGAAAAATCTGGACCATTAGGTAAAATTGTAGGAACGGTTTTCCAGTTCTGAGTGGATATGCGTAAACTAAATGTGCAAGACTGCATCTCGACTTCGACTTAAAAGGCGACACTCTACAGTGAGCGCTTACCAAGCGACAACGCAAAGCCGACGTTTGTACTGACACAGGCTGAACCCTCGTCCACGTCTCCTACTGCCCCTTCAAAGGACGTGATGTGAAGTGAGACTGACCCTCGTCCACGTCTCCCACAGTCCCTTCGAAGGACGTGATGTGAAGTGAGGCTGACGCAGAGCTGAGCCGTCACCGAGCCCACGACGGGTTAGAAAGCCTACCGTGCACAAGCATCTGCGGTGGAGATAAGGAAACACAGCGGAAGAAAGACATTTGGACACGATAACCCTCGCTTCGCGTTTAAAAGAAGGCACGGTGATAAACTTTGCCCTGCTGGTCACGAAGAAATGTGTGGCAATGCAAACGTTCGTCATTAAGCTGACTACCGACATCAGTGCTTTCACGAGCAGATGGACTATCAAATCTAGTGTCCAGCTGTCGAACGGTTCGTGCACGTGTGACAGATACAGAGATCTGTTTTGCTCATTCGGAAGACGTTGAACGGTACGGTGTCGATAAGAACTTTTCAGGTCCCAGAAACTACACGAACGTCAGAGATTTGGTCACCTTTGTACTTTCGTTCAAACGATGGTAGTGTAACGTTTCAACGCATCCCTGTTACCTGAAATTACCGCACGTTTGAGCGCGTTTTTGAACCCCGGGTGTGAGAATCAATTCTAGGCATGAATGTCTGATTGAAAGAAATGGCTGTCCACTGTATGTGTGTGTTCTTGCGCGTCACAGCACCCGGAGCTTCATGAAAATGCACTATTCTGCTGCCATGGTCAAGCAGCTACCTAACAAATCATGAACACCGGGCAAACGAACTATGCAAAATGTCCAGAAAATACTTGACTAAACGTAGACGGAAGTATTGCATTTTGATCTCGACTTTACTATAGTTTAGGGACCCAGCGAAGCTTTGAGCGAAAGACTTGCTAACAAATCGCGCACTAGCTCCGGCAGGCACGTGGTAACTTGACACGAATAAGCTATTTTCGGTGGAGAATGACACCTTTTACTGAGACTTCGTGTTATTAGTTTTGGACTCTTCATAATTTTGGTCTCTCGTTGATGACCAGAAATAATTTATCGCTAAATAAGGTCTCCTTCGGAGCTTTGGCTCATTCCGGTCTCTCTGACGTTCATTTCACATGTCGAGTCTCCATGACACATTTCAGAAGCGTTTTCGGCGTAGTGGTTAGTACTATTGCATAAGCAAAGCATTCAGGTCAGGCATATGCAGTGCAGCCAGGCATAGCTGCGCCAAATTTTGTGCAGCTGCACGAAGATCCAGCTGTAGGAAATTTGCAAGGCCACTGACCGACGGCAAGTAAAAGTCAGGAAACGGCTGTCAGCAACAATTCCTAGGAAGTCGTTCAATCTGATGCGACAATGGAGTGTCAGACAAAGCAATGCATTTTCGAGATGGACTCTTAGACGCTCAGACATTTCAAGTTAGGATCACGTCTTACTCAGCTGGCCTTGGGTCGGTATGGCATGAAGGTCAGACCAATGTCATAACCCAGTTGCTTTCATACTGAGCATCTTCTTTGTTGAGACGTGTTTGACGCTGTTTTTAAATTTCTTCATCACAGAGACGTCAACAGACAGCCTATTCGGACTTGGATTGGAGATTTTGAGATTTTTGAGACAGGGATTTGAGATTTTTAGATTTGAAGCTTAGAGGAGGCAACTCACCTACCAACCTTTTGCTTTGAGGAACAGGAAGAACGGCCTAGCCTAGACGCTGACATTGACCTGGCTGACTTAAATTCAAGTCTTAAATGACTTAACGACCTTGGCTTGAATTGAAAAGTCAAAACAACCTCGAATCTTTTTGGCAACCTTGACTTTTTACTTGTCAAATAAGGCCACTGACCTTAAACAAGCACCAGTGATCTTCTGCTTCGATTGGGTGTTTTCATTACAATAACTTGCATGAGGAGGCCTGAGGGACCTCAGATATCGACTGGGAATGTCACCTTGCGGGGCCTTGTTTGACCCGGACGTTACGACCTAGGGGCTTGAAATGTAACATAGGTGAGTTCTTATGTAAGCTTCCCTGTATAGTCAACCTGCTATACCCAGCTGTTTTAGTTTTTTCTGATATCGAGTGTTCAAATTGACCCCCTCCCTCTCCGCTCGTGGGTTATTCAGGAAAAAACCTTCCGGTTAAAGTCACCTGTCACCGGAGCACGTGCGACGGATAGAGGAGACATGCTGCCGGACCAAAAACCTTTGCTGACATTTTCCCCGTACGTGACAGACAATCAACGTCCAACAAGTGGTGGGTCTCTCTTAGGAAACATCCACAAGAAGGGGAACGGAATACAGACCTGTCATCCAGCAACGCGGCATACACATGACCGCTCCAAACAGGGGCATAGGAGCTCACTCCTGAGTGCGCCCATCGGCGTGTGGTCTGACCTCGCAGAGACGGCAGCACGACTCAAAGTTTAAAAGGGAAAGAAACGCAAAGGCGCGGAGCGACGCTTACCTGTCGTGGACATTCGGTAAACTTCGGAGGGGCCTTCTTATTCGTGGCATCCTGAGTAAAAAAATATAATCACATACTTAACTAAGCGACTTACAACTTAGCTACATTCGGCTTGATTCGCTAGGTCAGATTCATGTGCGCGAGTTTATGTTGTGTTGTGTATGGTGACAGCTAATCGGTCTACTAGACTGTGTACCTCGGCTGAGCGCCGGGCAGTCACTGTTCCGCCCCCTGCCTCTCCAACGGGCCATTGGACGCACGTGGCAGGGCCGCAAACGTAGGGCTTGCCCATGTCCTGCCGCTAGCGCGTCTCTCGGTCAACAGCTCGGCACGTGACGAACCCACCAACGGGCCCCACGCAATCAGCGCACGGAACCCATGTCCTGCCGCTAGTGCGTCCCCAGGTCAACAGCTCGGCACGTGCCGTACCCGCCGACGGGTCGCACGCAATCAGCGCGCCGAGAAGTGTTTTAACCGGCAATGCCAAATCGAGTGCTTGCAGTTTTCGCAAACAAGAAGTCGTGTGCCTCCATTGCTGGAGACGGCTGCCAAGTATGAGCGATGTTGACAGCAAAAGCGAATTGTCGCTGCATAATGGTACAAAATAAGGGCAGCTGAGTGGGGTAAACTTCATTCTCCCTCACACACCATCTGGTTTAAATTGTGAAGTACCAACCCTGCTGCATCCAAAAATGCAGGGTACCGTAGCGCTAAAAACATCTCGTTCTCCTGCTCCTTCTTATGTCGTGAAACTACGGCGCACACTTAGAGTACAATGCGGGTTGAGAATGGCCTGTTCTTTACAGCAGAATGTATCTTTGCAACTGCGTGTAATAAAGTCCCAGAGCATAATTAACGGCACGCAGTGATCTAAAATCATGCCCTGCGACCTAAATCCGGCTCGAAAATGCATTTATACTTTCTCAGCAACTCTCTGCGAATGAGATATTCCTCTGTCATAACACATAGTTAGCCAGTGTTTGAATTAAATGGGTTTGTCTGGCAATACAAGCAGAATGCAATGGACGCTTCTGTATCACCATGTTCCAGTACTATACGGGAAGTGGATTATGCGAAGCTAGGGCTTTCGAACCTCAGTTTATATTTCCTACAAAAGTACCGTTACAAGAATATCTCGAATAAATTGTGTCACATATCTTTTGTCTTATTAATTGTGTCACATATCACACATAGGTACACAACGTTATTAAGCTTTAGATCAAAAGTTATGAGAACAAGCAAAACTAAATTAAATGTTCCAAACTTGGCTCATCATCGCATGGCGTTAACCTAAGCTCATTACCGTTGCAACTGAAGGCAAGGCGACACATCGCGAAGTGATATTTTAAGTAACTTTCGGTATAGCAGCACGTCTGCACTATTGCACACGCACACATATACACACATCGGTATGAGTGCTGTATATTCAGATACCAACAGAAGATTACTGCATTGAAACCACTGATTCACCGAACAGTGTTTGGAAGTGTTTATGTAAACTTTTGGGTTCACGAGTACCCCCTGGTATATTAGGGGTTGCTTCCTCTACATCAGGCCTTTGCATTCAGAATGCCGAAACACCAGGACCTGAAGGACCTCCGTTCTTACATCAAAAAGTATTCCCACTACATTCACGACAGACTGTACGAAAATGTCCGATCTTATCTAATAATTCACTGGTAAATTTTTCAAGTGACAACAGATTAGAACGAGCGCGGATTCACAGCGAAGGGGTCTTGGTTGCATGGGTCTGCAACGCCGTGACGGATGGGTAATGAGGCCAACCATACCCATCTTTCAAACATGAGGAGGCCGTCTGACTTACGACGAGACTTAATCGACGCCGAACCACGCTCAGCTGATTTTCTCCAGCGAAAGAAATATGTGCCGCGCACAGGTGTGGCGGGATGAGTACCCTTCATGAACGTGCTTGTCTCAGCCCGTGATCCACACGTTGGTCGGCGGGAGACCGCGGCACGTGTTCCAAGATGATTCACTGCGTACAACATGTACTTAAAGCACGTGGTCCTATGAACAATCAGCACATATCGTCTGGCAAGACAATGGCACGTTTCTTCCAAAAGCCACAGATCCAAGTCGCAGTTCACAGCATGAGCGCAGCTCCAGCGACTGCCGCCGCCGCCCGGTGGTCGGTGCGCTGCCGTCCTGTCCTCTTCCGCTTCACATTCGGCCCTACCAATATCGCCCCTCTCTATACCACTCACAGTTTTGTTCTGCCAGACTCCCATCTCCCGCTCTACCAATCCACCATTTGCGTCCACCACTCCACTGTCCGGCTCTACCGCTCTACCGCTCTGCCGTTCGCCGCCGGCGGTCGGGCACGATCTGCAGCACCTGCTCGGCCGTGAGCTTGTGCACCTGGGCGAGATGCTTGCGCAGGTCGGGCACGTTGTTGGAGACGCGGCCACACAGCGGGCACATGGTTAGACCCTCGTGCACCTTAGTGTGGGACACCATGGAGCGGTAGGTGCGGTAGCGCTGTCCGCACACGCCGCACGCGTGCTCGCCCGCACCTGCAAAACGAAAACGGATTAGACTGTGTTAGCTTATCTCAGGAAGCATGGAAGTGTTCCGCCATAACTGCTACAGTCTCCCGACATGTGGGTGTTCGGCCATGACTGCTACAGTCTCCCGAGCCGATCAGTGACATGTGAGTGTTCGGCCATGACTGCTACAGTCTCCCGAGTCGATGAGTGACATGTGAATGTTCGGCCACAACTGCTACAGTCTCCCGAGCCGATCAGTGACATGTGAGTGTTCTGCCATGACTGCTACAGTCTCCCGAGCCGATGAGTGACATGTGAGTGTTCGGCCATGACTGCTACAGTCTCCCGAGCCGATGAGTGACATGTGAGTGTTCTGCCATGACTGCTACAGTCTCCCGAGCCGATGAGTGACATGTGAGTGTTCGGCCATGACTGCTACAGTCTCCAAAGCCGATGAGTGACACGTGAGTGTTCGGCCATGACTGCTACAGTCTCCCGAGCCGATGAGTGGAGGATTACAAAAACCTGGTGAGTTTCGAGCCCACACCATTACTGCGGCTAGTCATGTATGCTACCATCGGCTACATACAGTCCTGGGAGCGCATCTGATGAGCAGAAACCTCATGTGCCAAGCATTAAGCGGAGCAGGAGGGCTGAGGCATGAATGGGTGGATGGCAAATTAGACAAACATAACGCGCTGGGCATAATGTCGTCAGACATGTGGACAAATACTGGGGATCACTCGGCCACGCCCGGGAGGGGTCCGAGTAGCCCCAACCAGGATTACAAAATCAAACGTGAGACGTCGAGTGCCAACGATTGGATGCAGTTTGACTGGCGTCCGGGAAAAAGGAATATAGCACTTGAGCCGAACAGAAATGGAATGACGCAAGCAAAATTACTTGTATAATTGTAGTTCGTATATCGTATTTTGAGCAAAATTGAAATGGATGTGCCGTAAAGTAAATAGCCTTAGCTCATGTTATAGAAAAAACATAAAAAACTGTGACAGACCTCTGACTCTAAGCCTTGTGGTCCCATTTCTATACCATGAGCATAGGCTATTTACTTACCTCATAATCATTGCGTTTAATGAATGTGGGATGACAAATTATCACAGACCATGCGTTCTTAGAGTTAGATGTCACACCCCGCATGCAAGAGAAGGTGGTGGCTAAACGACGTGATCAAGCAATCGTTACAACACACAATCAAAGTATTCAACGTTCCCAGCAGTGTTCATAGCCGCGGGTGAACAAAGTTACCCTACCTACTGACTCAAGGCGTAACGCAAGCAAAGAAATAGTCTTGCATCTGTGCACACTGATTCGTTGTGTTCTGAGCCCTCCGGAAATGTTCCAGAGTATGCGAGATGCATACGGAACGCCACGTTTTCCTTCTTCAACCCACATTTTGTCTTATGCCTTCAAGTTTTCGTTCACCCGTGGCCGAGAGCACTGCTAGAAGCCTTGAGTATTGCCATGGTATATTCCAATTACCGTTTGATGTTTCTTTCTCAAGCAGTAGCTCCTGGCATACGGCAGATTGGGTAGCTCAGTATGACACGGTAATAGTAAGACAGTAGCTCATGATGCCGAGAAAAAAAGTACTTTGCGGTTTGCATTGCTTATATCACTAGATCACGAAGGGCAGATGACACCAGTTAAACAAAACGCCAAATCACTTACGAAGAGTTCCATACGGCGGATGCCCAACAGCGGGACATACTCATCAGGTGCGTACCACATGCGTTTGTAAAGCGGAAGGTTCGTGGCCCGTCAACGAATCTTAAGACCACCCTGGTTGTGGCATCACACATTGCACTAAAATAAATCACAGTGCAAATTTGGTTGTTCTCCGCCGTCTTGAGGAGAATCATGACCTCGTTGCGTTGGTAGAGGTTGGTTTCGCGATTAGGCTAAGTGCGTCAGCTGGCATTGCTTTCCACGCAACAACCGGCTGCCGAGTGAGAAATACTAACATTAGGGACGCAAGTTGTCGATTCCAGCTATGCTATATCATTGTGTCCGGCAGGTTGTCGCCGCAGGGTTCATCTCGGGCGCGTCTCGTGCAGTGCGACATTAAGAGACAGCCCATGGCAGACATTTGAAGTCTCTTCGATGTCCTTGCGCAAAGGTGAGGAACACATATGTTATCCATCGAGATCGGAACGGTCTTCGTGCATTTTCATATTATGGCAGCACAACGGAACGCTGCTCAAATCTTTTAAAACAAGAGCATAGGTTGCCGTTTCATATGCAAATAATGTTTAGCAGAGGACTGCCCAATCATAACGCAATGGATACGTAGTGTTTGCCAGTATTCCCCGGCGAAATCTATACACAGACGCACCACACCCACGGCATTCTTCTTCAGTGCAGCCCAGGTGCCTGAGCCTTGCAACGCCTTACAATCCAGTTTATTGGCCACACCCCATCATTCAGCAGCCGGTGGTACAAAAATGCAAAAGTATAAAAACTAATTTGCTTGTTCCGCAGTTGCCGTTCGGAATGTACATCAACACCGTCAAGTGTATAGGGTGGAATCCGATACCGCAGCCACGCATATCAAAACTAAGTTTTAACATCTCAACGACTTGGCTTCATCAATAACAGCAAGACAATCAAGCCCGCCCATTTTATGGACATGAAGGGCACAGTTTAAGTCCGGGCAGGCGGCACGGTAAGCCACATCACCTAAAAACCGAACCACGCGAGAGTAAAACTGCCCTAAAGTGTACCGTCAAAGTTTGCACCACGCAGTTTCCAACACCGCTTAGGCAAACTTGCCAACACTGGGGGGTTCCGGAGAATTTCAATCCGTTTTTTCCACGCACCTTCACAACCTTCACGTTAAACTTTCCACACATTTCGCACACGCCATTTTAAGTCTCACATCTCTAACCTCCGCTCAGCCTATGACATCAGCGGAGCGGAAGAGCCTGGTCAAGACCTGATGTACCATTTGTAAACACATTAAGAAGGAACATGTCATCAATGAAACCAGCGTGAACACCAAGGTCATTCTGGTGTCGCTTCGAATTCGCGCTGTTCAAACTCGAACTGACCAACGTCAAGTCAAAGAAGGGCTGCGATACGGTACTTACGGCCCCTTAAAATGCGGTGGGGACATCACAGCAACAGACCAGAAATATATATAACCTCCGCATTCATCACGACGGCAACACCACATCACAGTCCAACTTGCCTCAATACGTGGCAAAGAAGGGGCCGATACCCGGGTAAAGCTGGCTACATCGCTCGGTAATACATGATCAAAGACGACACCACACATGATATTGGTCACAAACGTGTACACATAACAGACACCAGGATGTGACCCAAGCACCAGGTAGGCAAAACACCCGAAAGGGAAATTATCGTCCAGTTTGAGAAACGCCAAGGCAGGAAGCAGCGATAGTGTGACAAATCTCCACCAGCTACACTACTTCTTACATCCGCTACTTGTCAAATCCAAACCACCGCCACGTGGAACACAGACTTGGCTTGATGAGGACAGCTCGCGAACGGCTGGTGGTCGTACTACGGCAGACGTATGCGCGTGGGAACCATCTGGCGAATTTCGTCCACGTGCAGCCCATGCACGGTCTCTAGGTGGCGCCGTAGGTGAGCCACTTTGCTCGTCACCTTCCCACACAGCCGGCACGTCGTCAGCCCCTCGTGGACCTTGCGGTGAAGCTTTAGTGACATCCCGTGCCGGTACGAGCGGCCGCAGATGTCGCAGCTGAAACACACTGGTGGCAGAGGTGGGATCAGAGTCGCATAGCGTGCGCTGTGCTCAGAATGGTAATTCTGCAATTGCCAGAATGTTTTTGGTTTGCAGGTGGCATACTATCCAACGCAGAACACGGCAGCACAGGTAGTGCGTGATTATCGATGTGGGGGTAATAGCTTCTAACTTGCCTCATGGCATACATGCTCGATCACCATACCCCGAGATTACGACTTTTTTGGGGCTTCCGAAGCGTGACAGCAGCGTGCATTCATGTTAATGATAATGATAACACTTTGCGGACTATTGTTCCATTGAACTATTAAAATACATGCATTATACTTCAGCGTCAATGATCACCAAATCTGAAACAGAATTACTGTCCCAGCTCCCTGGCAGCAACTCAATGAAGCGGACGGATCAGAACATTATTTCACCTAGTCTGATCAGTATTTCCCACTGAGCGCGAACTAACAGTGAGCCCTACTATTGAAATAAATTTGGCGACAGGTTAAAGAGACCAATTAATAACATAATTATTTCAATTCAAGGAGCGAGCATGACGAAACATACTCAGAGCTGCCTTTAAGTTGACGACAAAGCCACCATCGTATCAAATGCCAATTCATGGTCGGGTTTGAACAAAATCAGCCGAGAGCACACCACCGGTCGGCGCCAAAACTCCGCGGGTGTCGGAAACGGCCTGCGGCAAGCGGCGCTGAGCACTGCCGTAGGATAAGGGCCAAACGGGATGCACGGGGAGAAATCATATAGTCGATTAATCAGAATTTTCGTGGCCTCGTTCGGGTCCGGACACAGGGTACTAATCAGAATGCACAGCGTCATCCGCCCACACCCTTCGATGGGAGCAAGCTGAGCATCATTCCGAGTGTGCCCCAGTATGGGGTCTGCTAACGCGGTTGCTTAGCAGCCTTGTTATGCGTTAAAACACGCCTGGGCTGCTCATTGAGCACAACGCGCTCAGTTGGGGGTCGACTTGATTCTCCTGGGATCTCAAATAACCAAGACAGCGAGACACACCAAAGTGTCCAGAGAAGGCATGCATGCATGCCACGTTATTTGTGTCAAATTTTGAGATTTCTAGGTAATGACCTCAGCGCCAACAAAAGTTCACAATTGCGAACTCCCGATTGGCATCCGAAATGCGCTCAGACTTGATATAATCATCTTTAACCTAGTAACCCCTTCCAAAAAGGGCAGCTCGAGACCATTTCAGGTCCAACGATCTCATTTATCCTTCAAATGGTCCATGGGATCTTCCTTCCATCCCGTGGTCCATGGGCTCAAAACCTTCGCTGTTACTTTCATATTTTAAGTTAAATAAGCGGCAGATGGTTAATAATATAAACCAAACTAAACTAAAAATAAATAAAATAAACTAAAAATAAACTAAAACTAAAAAATACACTAAACAAAAGAACTAAACATAAATAATAACAAATGGTTAATTGGGGTCAGTTTAGGTCAGTGACCTCCTATGACCCTTGTTAAGTACAAATCATACGTTTGTTGACGTCCCATGATCGAGAAATTCCACATGAGCGTCAAAAATACCCCATAAAGCAAATTCTTCATTAGAAAAGCAAATTGGCTTCAACCTCGGTCAGACCTTTGTATCTGACCCAAGGTCAATGGAACGGTCTTCTTCTTATATCTGACCCAAGGTATTCATAAATTCAACTGTTTCATCGCCTAAGAAAACATCTCAAAGTTATCTGGCTTTGTCTAGCACCCGTTATCGCGTCAGATTGACCAATGCCCCACGAATCGCCTTCGTTAACAGTCATGAACTAATTTCGCCCTAGATCAGCGACCTTTCAAAGGTACATTACATGCTTTATACCAAACAATCGGTTATTGAATTGCTCATAGCTAGATCAAATTTGGCGCCGCCACGGTACGCCGTTCGGAAGTTGTTCTAGAAAACCCAAAGGGGGGGGGGGGCAACTGGCCCCCAACCGAGCACGTGTTAACACGCCTAAAGAAGAACGAAGTAACTAGTAATCGTAGGATCAAAAACATCTGAAATGAACACCAACAGCCATTCCTTATTCTGCGTGTAACCATGCTAATAGCAGCAGCCAGGCTAATGCGCGCTACGTCACAAGATGCAGATTGGTACAGCATGGGCCAAGATATGAACACCACGAGAACGCCGGCTACCTCAACGTGTTGCTCCCAATTCGCAGGTGGCGGCGCCCTTGCACGAATAAAACAGCCGACGTCAATCCACATGCGAATTTATTACCGTGTCACCGTATCAATCAAATAACCAATAAAAAAACAAACGACGGCGAATTAAATTGACCGAACTAATGACCCACTTCACCACTTTGCACTTTAACCACATGGAGACCCCCCTGCCACAATCACACGGCTTGATTAAGGCAATGGTACTCTGTTCACCCTGTTAGATCACTTGAAGTCTGCAGTGTAATTCGCGTAGAACATTCGCATAAGACCCTATCGCGAACCCCAGCCCACGTATGAAAACGATATGCGAGTGATTCGAGTGAAGTAGCCGTCCAGTGCCAAAATTACTGTCGTTATCCACTTAAAAAAGATGACTGATGCCAACAGAATAAAATTAAAATACTCTAAGATTACGGAACCAGTCCTGATGTAAGCAGCCAATTATGAACATCTGTTAAGGCGATTTGCATTTGGTAAAATCCATTCATTGATAAAACTTTCATTCATTCATTGGTAAAATTCTTTTGCTTCGACAATGGTAAAACTCTACCTTCATCTATGCATTGTTAATTAGCTTCTGAACGGCGCTCAACAACGCGCCGCCGATCAATGAACGCAAACAAGCACATAGGCGAGGGCAAGTGCAATCAGCACGGTGAGCGGGATCCGCACAGATGTTGTAACCCGCAGTGCATGAACACGTCATCAAAAGAGTTGCTTTCAATCAACGATCAAGATTCCTCCCGGGCAGGAAGCACGACGCTCGGCTCCAAGCGCGCTTAATCCCTGTTCGCGCGTATACTAACCGGCACATGGCATGCTACCAAACGCGCGGGTGCAAGACATGTGCGCTAAGGGCAAACGGATTCTCCGCACCACCTCATATTAGTGGCAAGGGCTTTAGCCAGTTGACCCCACTTGTATCCCTGCAGCGACCACACTACACACAATAATGTCGGCACGGCACACAAAACCAGCTCAGGGACCCAAAATCAATAATCCCAACGGTCTGAACCACGCGTCTCCGGATGTAGCACGATATGCGGAGAGCTGCAACATTCGACCCAACTAATAACACGGGACTCCCGCCTCCGGGTGGTCCAGGTTCCAAACCGTGCCTCGAAGCCCCGCTCGGCTACGCTTCTGCCCAGCTTGGTGTCCCAGCCAGGGCAGCTGACTTCCATGTCTCCTCCTGTCTCGATACTGAGTCGACACCATTCGCAGCGGCAAGTCATGCCACCGGCAACGCGCGCGGATCTGTCACTCCGTGACGGCCGCCCGGCGCTGCTGCTCCTCTGGCGCCTCCGTCGGCACCACCGCACCCGCATCCCCCAGCGGGCGCAGCCTGCCGCTGCCCTGCGCCTCTGCCGGCGCTGCCACGCCGCGCGCCGATCCGGGCCCCGGCGCCTCATACAACCGGCGCTGCTGCTCCTCTTGCCGCTGTCCGGCCGCCTCCACGCGCCTGCGCCACGCCTCTTGCTGTGCCCGGAGCACGTCCGGCTGTCGCTGCCAGCCGGCCGCCGGAAGCCGACCCTTGCTGGCCGTGGGCACCAGCTGGCGCACCGCCTCAGGTGCCAGCTGGTGCGCCGGAAGCCGACCCTTGCTGGCCGTGGGCACCAGCTGGCGCACCGCCTCAGGCGCCAGCTGGTGCGCCGTCTGCAGGTGGCGCCGCAGGTGAGCCACAATGCAGAGCACCTTGCCGCACAGACGGCAGGTGGTGAGGCCCTCGTGCATCTTCATGTGGTGCGTGAGCGCCTGGCGGTTGGAGTACTGGCGGCCACACTCGCGGCACACCGAGACCGGACGCGCTGAAACGGAAATGGGAGCAGACAGAGTTACAAGGGGAGTTCGGCGGAGTTCGTCGGGGGAATTCGGAAAGGCGAGTTAAGAAAACGAGCTGCGGCAGGCGGTGATGAGTAGTGTCAGGCAAATCTGGCTCTGGCCACCAGCGTGTCTCATCGGCATGCTATGCGCGCGCCTTCGTTAGCTTCTAGAAACAAAAGACATTGTACGGTCACCGTTCGGCACAAAAGGGCGAAACATAACACCCCGCACACGAGACCACATTTACTGAGATGCTCTAACCCTAGGCATGTTGTTCACGTTCCGTAGCGCGCAAGTACGTTTAGTGCCATAGCTCACCGCCATTTCTGTACACGGCTAAAATAAAGCCAATTGAAGGCTCGTGGCAAGCAGCTTGACCGCATCGCCAAAAATTTAGGTGTCTTGGCCAGGTTCGAAACCCACATCTTCACAAGTGTAATTGCATCATATTATCGTGACCCATTACGTCAATGTGCTGTTCCATTACACGCTTGATCGAAAAGCCCAATTCAAGAACACCTCGGCGTGGTCAGGGCAAAGTAACAGAAACAATTCAGCGATACAGGCTGTAAAGGAGCAAACCGTCTGCAGAGAATAAGCTGGCTAAAAAAGAACAACTTCTTGGCGCATGACGGGTGTTTAAAGGAACAAATTGGATAGAATCTCATAAGGCATTGAAAGATAGAGCGCAATGGACCATGGTCTAAAATCTGGCTCAATACCAGGCAGCGCTGTAATTTATCTTGGAATGCGACCAACTGACACCTTTTTGCTCTCCAATTCAAGCACGGCACCCACTGTGATTCTATGTCACATTCTAAGACAAACATTCCAATGCAGACACCCGACGTTCATGGACAGACTGAAACAATGTGTTAGGAATAAGGTGTATTGAGCGTGACACCTTGAAAGACTCACCAATCTAGCGATGACAGTCCGCTCATGCGCCGCTATTTTCTTCTGGCACCACTAACATGGGTCAGATCCCAGCGGTCGGATCGAGCCCGAGTCGACATGGCAGCCAGAGAATGATCCCACAAGACTGATATGAAGATCACGAGTGAAGCTGGGATTTCGTGACAATAAGTCAAAACGACTACAAATAACAAGTTGAATTTAACGGCGGACGGCGACACCAACCGACGGGGAATCCCGGGGAGGTGATAAGCCGGCGGTAAGCAGGTCTTTCCTTGGCCGTAACTGAATGAACGAGTATCTCAAGTTATCTTAAGTGGGCAATACATTAAGAATAGCCGGAAGGGAATATTCGATCGCCAGAGCGGACGTGTTCCGAGGACAGGGGCACCTCGGAGGCGGTAAAACGCGCCAGGCAGTTCTTCGACGTAGTGCAAAAGTCCGAAAATGTACTACACGTGTGTCAGATGTCTGCTGAAGTTGAGCTTCCACACAGGTGACCACTTATCGGTCCACGTAACCAGATTTGCTTTGTGAGAGTGGAGATCAATACGCTATCCACATTCAAGGCTTCCGATAATCTCTGTATCCCCATATCTACCCGCCATATCTCCCTTTTGTGAGCTCCGAATTGATTGAAAACACTGACATCCGCCCTCAGACATATTACGTTATGCACCTCGCTGTGACGAATGGGGGCATTATAAAAACGGCCATTGGCTGGAGGGAACATTATTGTGGGCAGACAAGACATTACAATAAGGTGTACCTCGAAATGCGCAGGCTGGGAGTGTGAGCCCTACATGCGCAACAGCATGAAAAAGCACTACAGAAGCAATTCTTTCCAACACGGCCGACAAGTCCTGTTGAACTTTCTCCTCACGCGCGCGACACAATTCCTTTTACGCAAGACTTGACCCCGTGACACTTATCTATGCGGCTCTACTCGTAGGGCTCCACTCGTACTATGTCTTCCGAGAACAACGGTCCAATCTCAGACCCACAGCATCCTCCGTCGTCCTTCTGACACTGTCCGGGCCATGTGCTGCTGCTCTCCAGCGCCCCAACCCCACGGCTGTGAAGGGCGCAGCGGACTGGCGAGCCCGCCCCTCCTGCTGCGGCGTGGCCTGGCGTCCAACGACCTGTGAACAACCATGTGTTTAGCTGAACACGGGCTTCACCGCCAACGGCGATGGCTTCATGACAACAGAATGTAAATGTTAGCCCTTCGAAATTCACAGAGGACCCAACGCTGCTTTAGTTCATTTTTGTGGGCACAGGGACACACTTTGCCCTGCAAGCGCGAAAAGCTCCAACAAAGATGGCAGCCCTTTTTATGCCAGCGCAGGGCAGCATTTCTAGCGTACTGGCATTTCAAATCCCTCCCATGCGTGCAGACAGGAAGTGACGAGCCGCACAATTTCATCAGACTCACATTGACTCAGACTCATTTCATCAGACTCACATTGACTCAGACTCATTTCATTGCCCGTCTTACTTGACAATTTTCAAGTTACTAGTGATATCCGCCTGATACATGCATGTTGCCGAAATACCAATACATCTATCTCTTTATTCTCCCAGTTATTCGACGAGTAATAAGGCTATTTATACCGTCTTTTCTACATAACATTTCCATCTCAGACGTAAACATGTTGAACAAAAACATAATTACCATAGCTTTGTCACCTATTTCAGTAGCCATAGAGGGTTTTTTTAGCCGCGGATTACTGAAACCTTAATGGCAGTAGCACCGGCGAACTGTGACTGGACAAAGCCGACATATGAGCTTGCTTGCATGCGCCCCAGGCCGTCATATTTCAAAGTGGCCCTTCCATACACGACAAAGATCTTCCTATTTCCCGTCGTGGATATGTTCAAATGACAAACATTGCCGCCGCGGTTCAGAACTTCTCCATATCCATGGCAACTTTGACATGATTGACAGTGACACAATGATTGAATCTAAGTTACCTCAAGTACTGGAACTGATAATGCAAAACGCTGGCGACTTTTCTTTGTTTCCGATCGCCTCAAGGGCGGGGCTGAACTTCAAAAGTAAAAAATTGTGATTTCACAACGTAGCCCTCAAACTGCAGAAATCAAAACGGCTGGCCTATTGTAAATGTGATTTATGTTCGGCAATTACGCTTTGGATTACAGAACGCCGTCTGCAACGCACCACCGCCGCGTTCTAGCCTTCCATATGGCCCATGCTAATTCACAAGTTTGCGGACAACATAAAGAGCACCCTGGCACACGGGACATTGCGAATAAATCAGGAGAGCACGCCACACAATTCTACGCATGTAGCTAGCTCAGAAACGTATTCGGTACGCGCAGTCCCTAACGATACAAATGTGATTGACAATAAACTAGTACACACCATATCACCAAGTGAAGTCCTGAGAAATCAACGTGTCAAGACCGTGTGTCGTCGTTTAAAAAGCAACTCCTAGTATATTGACTGTCAGTTTTTCAGGATAAGAGCGCAAAATGCAAAATTTCGAACAGGATCCCATCATAGTTATGATTCTGCCAATTCGACTGAGCATCCACATGAGGTTAAGCTATGTCCACGCACGCAAAAGGCGTTGGCATTGTTGCTCGGCGCATCCAGGCACAGCCACTAAATTGCATGTTGTGCAAAAATCGCTGAGTTCTGATCTCCACGGAGTTGGGCCCACTGAACAGTTTTCAAACCATACTTTCCTAGAATGGCCGGAACTTCTGATTCCAAAAACAAGCTTTTCAACACAGACAAAACCTGCCTGCAACATCTCGCGACTCCTTTGCGCTCCGTCTCGACTATAACGCCCTAGTCAATACCACCGCCCAATGAATGTTCCGCACTCGACTCCGTATTATAAATGACACTGCGCGCTTGAGGTCCCTGTCATTCTCTGAGGGGCTGACGGGGGCTTTCCATATCCAAGCTCAACCATACAGCGTTCCGAGGACCCCTATTAAGGCCAGCCCGTCAGCGGAATTATCACGGAGTAGGTCTGAACCAGACCAAAAATGTCCCTACAATCCAAGACCCTTCAGCACACCGCACGCAAAGTGCTCATCCCATGTCAACACGACAACCATGTTTGTAATGAATCTCGCACGGAAGCGGAAAGTACCCACCTTTCAACACGCTGATGTCTTCTCTCCAATCACCGTGCGCGTTGTCCTCATCTTCAAGTTATACACACTTTCAGATGGTTTCGAATCTTCTCACCAAACGCACCAAGCGCATACCAGCTTCCAATGGCACTAAAAAATCGATCAGCGACAAAACGACGTAAAAAATTGCCTGGGCGTACAATAGCCTCAATAAAGGCGTAATGCAGATGTGTTTTGCACGGCGGCAGCCCGATAATGGGCCAGACTACGACGACGTATGACATTTTTAGCAATCCCGCTGGTCCCATCGATCCACCCGGTAAATATCCCTAGTTCTGACGACTTCAGAATCCGCGAATACAGCATTGGTTGAGTGTGAAAAATAAACGCAATCTGGCACCAACGGAAAGGTTACATGAGGCCGCTCTCGACGGGCAATACAGACCTAAGTCAGCCGTCCACGGGCGAAACCCAGGATACACCCTACCCAACAAAACCCCTCCATCGGCCATAGTTACCGGTAACAGAGCGCTACAACGCCCATGGCCTGAGCAGTTACAAACGCTGACGGAGCATAAAATAGTGCCACTTTACGCAAAACAAAGCCACAAAATAGTGTCACTTGCCACCAAATAGTGCCACTTCACTGAGAACAAACAAAGGAGGAGGTCAAGCAAGAAGAGAGTTCGCTGCTACGGTACCCCCGGCTGAACAGCGACGGACAAGCACGATTGACGTGACTTACGCGAGGAGAAACAACAAAGTAAAGAGAACAGCGGCACATTAATACAATAAAATAAAACAATGAATAAAACATACAATAATAAAAATAAACTAACTGAAAAGTTGATCGCAATCTGAAGAAGTGTCTGAGACGAACACGTAAAGTAAAAATACATTAATCATCCAAGATATCACAGAGCAACCAACCTGTACGTTAGACCGACTTCCAACATGC